AGTTGCGCCAGTGGAGGTTTAGATTGGACATGAGGAAAAATTTCTTCACTGAAAGGGTTGTCAAGCATTGGAACCACTGAGTGGTTGAGTCGCCATCCCTGGAGGTATTTAAAAGACGTGTAGACATGGCACTTAGGGAGATAGTTTAGTGGTGGACTTGACAGTGTTAGGTTTACAGTTGGACTCGATGATCTTAAATGTCTTTTCCAAGCTAAATGATTCTATGATTCTATGATTCTATAAATGGCCAAACTTCAGGTGATGCTTCTGCCCAGGTAAAGTTTCTTCCCCTTGCTGTAATGATGAGAAATAGAGAAAATTATAGAATCATAGAATCATTAAGGTTGGAAGAGACCTCCAAGATCATTGAGTCCAACCGTCAACCCAACACCACCATGCCCACTAAACCATGTCCCTAAGCGCCTCATCTACCCGTCTTTTAGTGGTGACTCAACCACTTCCCTGGGCAGCCTGTTCCAATGTTTAACTACTCTTTCAGTAAAGACATTTTTCCTCACATCCAATCTAAACCTCCCCTGGCGCAAATTCACAGGAACCGTTTCACGGTTTCACCGTTTCACACAAGAAGCATTAAAACACAAGGAGTTGTAACAGTATTGGGCCTGACATCAATGTGTGAGAGTGACTTTGAAAATGGGATGGTCTCTGAGCAGAGCTGGCAGCATCCGGCTGTTTCCAGAAGCCCATGCAGACTTTGGGGTGACAAGCTGGGCATTTCATCAGCTGGATTGACTCAGCCTCCTGTCTGTGTCATTGATCTACGATGGTTTTGCTCTCTTCTGTTCTCTGGGAGGAACTGCAAATGACAGACAGAATGCATTTAAAAAGATTAATAATTAATTAATAAATAATTAAAAGTATGCTTTCTTGTGGCAATGCAATGATATGCATTTTTGTCATGAAAAATACAATCCTGCTAAGGTTATCAGCACGCAGCTTCTACCTGAAAGACGCTGCAGTTGTTTTTGATTGAATTATTGGTTTGTGATGCTGACCTCCTCTACAACGGCGAGGCGGGATGGGTGTGCTTCTCCTGGCGTCTGCTGCAGTGTCTTTCCTCAAAGAGCAGGTTAAATATGAGTTTTGAAAAACAGCAGCAGAAAAGGTCAAAATGGTGTTATCACACAGTTTAAATTCATCAAATACAGTTCCTGCCTCTTAGCAAGAAAATATTGCTGGTAGTGGAATGGTGTGAATTAGAAAGCAGATATGACGAAACTGTTTTGCAGATGACACAATAAAACATATATCCAGGCAAAAATGACAGGAGCGTAAGTGACGGAGGGTAATGAATAAGTTGGACAAAGTTGGGTGGAATTCAACACTGAAATTTGATGCAGCAAGTGTGCTGGGTTCAGGTGAGCTTTCCCCTTCGTTCAGATGGCATATAGAATCATAGAATCATAGAATCATAGAATCATTAAAGGTTGGAAGAGACCTCCAAGATCAT